CTCCGGGACGTTCTGCAGCTAGCCCCTCGGCGGGGGTGGGGGGCAAGCCTAGAGGCCCTTCAGCCTTGGGCAAGTCCTGGGAAAGGCAAGGGTCAGCGCCTGTCTACCTTTGACGTGATGGGGTCCCTGAAATGTAGTGAGGAGAATAATAGTCCGGGAAGAGGGGGCGCTAGAAAGCTGCCTGGGGGCAATTGCCTGCATAGAGTGGGCATGTTCTCAAGGTTTCCTCCTCCCCTAGATAAAAAAATGTTTGCCTAAGAATATGTTTAAAAATGCATTTAATTGTTAAGAGGCGGAGGAAAGTATACTGAATGGTAAAATGTGCTGGGGGGGGGGGGCGTTCTAGGGATTCATTCATTTAATTTCACACTGAGCTGAGTAGAGATGCTTGCAAATTAAGAACTAAAAGACATAAAAAAGAACATTGTACATCATGTGTCTGAACAAGGTGTATTGACTGGCAGTGGGGGCCATGTTAATCGGCATGTTATTCAGGCGTGTTAGAGGTTCAGAGACCGGAGCCCCAGCTTCTCCCTCTAGTGGGGCCTTTGATTCACTGTGGCATTGAGGACAATACCTTGCTTGACCCAGGCCCTGGTTTCCTCACACTGAAGTTTGCTCACCCAAACTTACTCACTGGGTGAGGTGAGGATTAGTTGGCGAAGGTGTTAAAAAGCTCTGTAGATACAGTAATTATTACTCATGGTTCCAGTTACTTTATCCTACAATGAAATAAATTGCCATAAATGGGGCAGGTTTAAATGGCCTGACCTATCTATATCTGGAAAGTGTCACTAAAATGAGGTGAACCAAAGAATTCTGACCATATATAGTAACTCTGTTCCCACAGGGATAAGAAGAACAGGCACTGGGGCTTGTCAGATGCCACTGATGGAGTTTGGGGGTGTGAAGATTATCAGTTTAGAATTCCAGTCACCATTGATGTCGCCAACAACATCAGTTCAGATCTGCAGAAAGCAGAAGAGTTTAAGCTAAGAGATAGTGGGTGCCTGATACGGTTCTTTATTGGTGTTCTCATCACACACAAAAACAGTGAGGTAAAATAATGTTCTCTCACCCTGTGTCACAGAAGTATTTTCACATGATAAGCGATGGTTTTAAGATATGTCCACAAATTCCTTGAAACTTCTTTCAGCAAGACTCCCTCTTTCAACTCACTGCCACTGAGTGGATCTGACTCATAGCAACTCTATAAAAACCAAAGTAACTGCCACTGAGTCCATTCTGACTTATAGTGAGCCTATGGGACAGGTTAAAACTGCCCCTGTGAGTTGCCGAGACTAACTTGTTAGGAAGTAGAAAGCTTTGGCTTTCTCCCAAGGAGTGACTGGTGGTTTTGAACTGCTGATCTTGCAGTTAGCAGCCCAAATTGCAGTTAGCAGCCCAAAAGGTAACCACCACACCACCAGGGCTCTTAGCAACCCTAAACCCAAACCAAACTCACTACCGTTGAGTCAATGCCAATTCATGGCAACCCTATATAGGACAGCGTAAAAGTAAGGCTACACTACTTCCTTGGCTAGATCATAAAGATGCCGCTTCCTTCGGCATCTCTTTCTTCGGAAACTCACCTTTGTAACCCAACCACCATACATGGAAGGCCAGGTATGTGTTCTAGCTGATTGCTCCTGCTGAGGACTCAGCTGATGGCCTGCACCAACCGAATGGGTGATCCTTAAGATGACTCCAGCTCTACCCACTGCTGAACGACATCACAGCACATGTGAGACCTAGAGAGAAATCAGTCTAACGGAGCTGTCTCAGTCCCCAGAAATCAAAGGGGATGACAATAAGAATACAAGATTAACCCTGGGAGTCATTAAATAGCAACAGATACCTAGAGCAGTGCAGCATTGGGATTTAAACAAACCATGTAGAACGAGTCTACAGTCCCCACCCTAAACTGCCAAGTGCATGTCCTCAAACGCTCACCTAGCACAGTGAGAACCCTGAAAATTCCAGTCTTGACAACAGACTACAAATGGACCTGCTACCTGGCCACATGTTGTAGACTCGTGTTTCTACTTTGTCCGTCTGCTTTTAGGCTCCCAAGGAACCGCTTGTAATAGTTGGGGGGTAACAGACCCCCTGACTTCTGCCATCCAATCCAGATTAGCAAAAGGAACAGAAATTCAGAGGGCAAGTTTACAAATAAAAAATGTAAATAATTGGATTGAAGAGTGAGGGAATTTTATAATCTTTTGATCTTGGAAGACGGCCAAGTTTTCATAAACAGTAATTTTATGAAATTTTAGGACAAATACATGCTAAACAGAAGTTTTGAAAGAGCTGCTAAGGGGGAGGCTTCGGGGTTTCTCCATCAACCAGAAAACCATACTCACTGCCGTTGAGTCAATTCTGACTCGTCGCAAACTAGGGATTTGATCCTGTGGGTTTCTGAGACTGTAACTCTTTACACAAATAGAGAGCCTCGTCTTTCTCCAGAGGAGAGGCTATGGTTTTTGAACTGTTGACCTTGCAGTTAACAGTCCAATGTATAACCCCCATGCCAAAGTGATTTTAAAACAGCATTATTTCAGAATAGTATTACCTCTAAGAAACTAGAACATGCTACTAAGACAGTCTCATCTTTCTCCTGAAGAGCAGTTGGTAGATTCAAACTGTTGACATTGTGGTTAGCAACACAATACAAAACCTACTACCCTAACAAAGCCTTTCTGCCTAATGTGAGTAAATGAAGACCTGGGAATATGCAAACAGAGACCTCGTATAGTGGTGACACTTGAAGTGTTCTCCCTGTTGTTAAGCAAAATCAAAAAGAAAATGTTTTTTTACAAAAAGGAAAAAAAAGAGCATATCCGAATAAGCAGTAAGAAAAGAAAATGAATCAAAAAGCCATTAGGTAGCCAAAAATATTTCCAAAATAAAGCTGTGCTTCTTTTTAAAAAAAATACCGTGAACCTGAAAACTAGACCTGTTGCCATTGAGTTAATTCCAATCCATAGTGACTCTATTGGACAGAGCAGAACTGGCCCAAGAGTTTCCAAGGCTGCAAATCCTTTTCTTTTTTTTTTTAAATCGTTTTATTAGGGGCTCATACAACTCTTATCACAATCCATACATACATCAATTGTGTAAAGCACAGTTGTATATTCATTGTCCTCATCATTCTCAAAACATTTGCTCTCCTCTTAAGCCCCTGGGATCAGCTCATTTTTCCCCTCCCTCCCCACTCTCTCCTCCCTCATGAACCCTTGATAATTTATAAATTATTATTTTGTCATATCTTGCCCTGTCCGATGTCTCCCTTCACCCACTTTTCTGCTGTCCGTCCCCCAGGGAGGAGGTCACATGTAGATCCTTGTAATCGGTTCACCCCTTCCAACCCACCCTCCTCTACCCTCCCGATATCGCCACTCACACCACTGGTCCTGACAGGATCATCTGCCCTGGATTCCCTGTGTTTCCAGTTCCTATCTGTACCAGTGTACATCCTCTGGTCCAGCCAGACTTGCAAGGTAGAGTTGGGATCATGATAAGTGGGGGTGGGAGGGTAGGGAAGGAAGCATTTAGGAACTAGAGGAAAGTTGTATGTTTCATCGTTGCTACATCGCACCCTGACTGGCTTGTCTCCTCCCCGAGACCATTCTGTAAGGGGATGTCCAGTGGCCTACAAATGGGCTTTGAGTCTCCACTCCGCACTCCTCGCGCCTCCCCCCCCTCATTCACTATGGTAAGATTTTTTGTTCTGATGATGCCTGATACCTGATCCCTTTGACAAGGCTGTAAATCTTACAGAAGCAGACTGCCACATTGTTCTCCTGTGAGGTGGCTAATGGATTCGAACCACTGACCTTTGGGTTAGCTTGGGCACTTAAAAGAGGGCTTCTACCATTAACCTAATTTTCATAAATGTCAAAATCTAACTCCTGAAGACATACCATGAAACTTTAAAATGTAATTCCTTTCCAACATCAACTAATCCATCAACCAATCAACAACTTCTCAGCTTCGAAGGGACAAATTAACCAAAAACAAATTCGCTACCACCAAGTCTATTCTGACTCATTGCAACCCCGTGGGTTCCAGACTGAAACTATTTACAGGAGTAGAAAGCACAATCTTTCTTCTAAGGAACTGCTTGGGGTTTTGAACTGCTGACCATGAGGATCATAGCCAACGCGTAACCACTACACCACCAGGGCTCCACGGGGCAAATTGAAGTGCTTCTGTTTTCAAGAATAGTTAATAAATCCAAAGGCAGTATATCTGGGAGAAACAAAGTATACAGAAGTAGAAAGACTATATTAAGATGTTTAGGGTACAAAAAGTAGAAAGACTATATTAAGATGTTTAGGGTACAAAAATAAATTACCCAATTACAGGAGTAAAGGAATATAAGAAGTATGTTTTATCTCAAAACATTTAATGATTTAAATTAAAACAAGTAAAAATCTTGCCATCTTTGTGGAAAAATATAGAAGCATATCTTTATATGTCTCAAAAGGAGAATCAGCTCCAAGCATTTTGGATTTTATTTCTCTCTGCTGTTTTTATTTGCTCCCTTTTTAAAACTCTTTAAGATGTTTGACATTGAGGAAGAAAATATCCAAACAGCCATATGAGCAGCAAAAAAGGCCTCATTTTGTTGTAGCAGAACTTCCAGTGAGCTGTAAGCTGCCTTAGAATTTCCCACAGGCTAGCTTTCAAGTCAGAGGCTATTGCTCCTCAAAAACAAACTAAAACAACTGCCACCGAATCAGTTATTCTGACTCAGAGACCCTCATAGAACCCTCGTAGAATTGCCCTTAGACTTGTAATTGCCCTAAGACTAACTCTTTAGGAGAACAGTAATCCTCTTCTTTCTCCCAAACTACTGTGCCACTCCATCCCCTCTAAAATCAATGACTTCCCATCCCCAGTACTCAACCTCCCATTTGGGGGTTAAGTAATTCCGTGCAACTTTTCACAGAACTCATGAACTATCTCACTGCCATCAAGCTGATTTCGACTAGAGGACACAGTAGAACTGCCCCTGTGGGTCAGCAGTTCAAACCCCCAACCCTTCAATGGGAGAAAGATAAGACTTTCTACTCCTGTAAAGAGTTACAGTCTCAGAAACCCACAGGGGCAGTTCTACTCTATGCTACGGGGTTTCTATGAGTAAAACCTGGCTCGATGGCAGATGACAGGGAGTTGGGTTCTGAATGGGTTGAGGGCAGCCCAGTTCTAAAATTCTCAGTTGTTTTCTTTGTGTCCTAGGAGCCCTGTCGTGGGTACAGGTTGGGTTGCTGGCCATAAGGTCAGCATTTCACACTCACCAGCTGCTTGAGCATAAAATAGTGAGGTTTTCTGCTCCTCTAAAGATGGATCATCTCTGAAACCCACAGGGGCAGGTCTTCCCGCTCTGTCCGATACGGTTGCTCTGAGTCAGAATCAGTTCCATAGCAATGAGTTGGTTTGTTGGTTTTTTAATTTGGTGGTACTGGTCAGGGGTTGGCAGACATGGCCTGGAGGCCAAGTCTGGACCACCCCCTCATCTGGATAGCCCACAAGCTAGAAATGGGTTCTGCATTTTAAAGGATTGCAGGTGGGGGGTGGGGGTGGGTGATAAACCAATAGTAATCTTTCATGCTATATAAAAATCATAGGAAATTGAGATTTCAGTGTCTCTCCATAAAGTTTTGCAGCACAGCCAGGCCGGTTCGTTACGCGCAGTAGGCCTAATGTCATGCTGTATCTGATCGCCTGGCTGAAAAACCCAATGCTGTTTCTGTCTAACCTTTCACAAAGGCTTGACCCTTGACTCGGTGTCTCTTTTACCTCTATTTTTTTTTTAATTACTTTGAAGGAGACCTGGTGTCATAGTGGTTGGTTATGTGTTGGACCACTAACTGCAAGGTCAGCGGTTCCAAACCACCAGCCACTCCATCGGAGAAAGACTAGGCTTTTGCCTCCTATTAAAAAAATTACAATCTCAGAAACCCACAGGAGCAATCCACCCCGTCCTATAGGATTTCTATGAGTCAGAATCAACTTGATGGCAGTGAGTGAGTGAGTGTGATGTGAGCTGTGGGTTAGGTATTGGGCTGCCACTAACTACAGTTATTGGTTCAAACCCACCAGGGGCTCTGGGGGAAAAGGCTGGAAAACCTGGAAACCAGACATAGGGTCACTATGAGTCAGAACTGACTCAACGGCAATGGGTTTGGTTTGGTTTGAGATTTTATTTATCTGTTACAAAACAGTTCTCGTCTACTTCTGAAAGGCAACTGGAATTGAAACCTGGAGAGTCAATCCTGGTAACATCTTCGCTAGCCATCCTCTCCGTATCTGTTCATTTGCTCCAGCTGATGAAATCTTTCTGGGCATTCTCCTGTAACTATTTGGCCCCTCCAACCAGAAGGTAGGTCTCTAGGTAAAATGCATACCTCAGTGGGAAAACACCACGCCCAGGACAATAAGAACCATCTTTGAGAGCTTTCTGAATCCTTGGAAGTGAGGTCACTTAGTTAACCTTCACAACAGCCGGGGAGGATTTTGTTGTTACCTCGCTTGATAGAGGATGGATCCAGGCAGTTGGGTTTCAGGGCTCAAGGCTATGTTTCCTCTCACTTCTTTCATCTTGCCTTCCTTCTGTGTCTCTCTTTCTTCTTTCAAAAAATTGTGTCTTATTTCCTTGTATCTTTTGTTTGAGAATGGTGCTCCTTGGTCAGATGGAGACGGATCGGGCCAGGAGCTGAACTCACCTCTGTGTTAGAATAATCAGCCCTTTGAGATCACCGGGAAGCATGCACCCAGGGGCAAAGTCCAGAGGGTTGGGAAAGGAGGAGGCCTAGAAACCAGACCCACAGGGAGAAAGTAAGATAGATGACGGTGCATTGTGAGGATTGTAATGGATGAGTTGAGTCAAAATATGAATGGATTGTTAAATGTAAATTATGATCTGCTCTGTAAACTTTCACCTAATTTATAATAAGTTTTTTAAAAAAGAATATGGTAAGTGCTGAATGAATATCTTTTAGTTTTGAAAAAAAGCATAACAAAACTCTCTTATATATTGAAAGAATGCTTAATGGTTAAAGTGCTACTTGAAATTCAGATTAGGTACTATGAAATATAATTCTATCACACTGTCAGCATTCAGGACTCAGCATTAAAAACACAACTCTTATTGTAAGTACTTTAAAAACCATAGATAAATGACAAGAATATTGAAGGATAAAAGACTGATGAAACTTCTCTCAGGTAGGAAATTTTACTAATGCTTTTAAAAGATAACTAGAATACTTACCTGGCAGGGGAGATACCGTGATCACGAAGGTGGTTTCCCAGGGCGAGGCTCATCCGTTGCACTCCGGATGTGCTGACCCCTGTGATTTCCCCAAATGTGGGAAACTCGACTGCATAATTTGTGCTAGTGGGGGACTGCGTTCTCGCTCTCCCCTGAAAAAGAAGAAAGAAAAGAAAACGAAAATAGAGAAAAGATGACTAGAAAGGAATTCGAAAAGCTCACAAATAGGGTACCTCATAGGTACTAGACTATTGGGAAATAAAAATAAAAAAAACAACTGTTCTTTCAAAAAGTAGAACAATGTAATTGAGATCTAAAATCCCACAGAAAATGCTATGGGTAATTTTCCTTCCTGAAAAAATGCATTTGTCTGTAGCTCAAAATACTCTGATCCCTTAAATAAATTATAGACCCATTGCCAGGAAATTTAAATTGCTTGAATTTTCCCCCCTGACATTTCATAATTTAGCATTTTGTCATTTCAACTAGTGAAATAATTGTCTTTTTAAAATTTCCTCTCAAGTCATTGCCCGTTAGTACTGTTATGCCAAAACCTGGCTGTTAAACAATGAATCAATGTGAAAAATAACTAGGCTGCTTTTCCAATCTCTTTACCAAAGCATTTCCATTTTTCTGATGATAGCTGGGGAGCTTGTCTGAGGAGATCCAAGAAAGACTGTAAGAAAAAGCAAATATTATGGCAAAGGAAAACATATTGGCTGTCTATATCGAAGGAACAGCAATTTAGCAAGCAAATAAAGTAATATTCTGTTTAGTCCCTAAAGCGAAATGTCCATTTATTTTGTGTCTAGTACACACCTTCGTCACAGGTGTTAGCACATGAAAATGCTGCCAAGTCGACTCTGGCTCATGGCAGCCCCGTGGGATTCAGAGAAAAGCTGGGCTTCCTAGGGTTTTAAGTGCTGTGCTCTTTTAGAAGTGGCCAGGCAAGGCCTTTCTTTAAAAGGGCCTCTGAGTAGCACGGAACCCCCAACCTCACAATTAGTCATAGGTGGCTTAACCATTTGTATCACCCAAGGCACATCTTAAACTGAAAGAACAACAAAAGAAAATTCAAGCCTTATATTGCAATAATGAACGATTCTCTGAGCAAAATATTGAATGATGCATGAAGCATCAAAAGAAGATGGAAACTATACGCCCGTCACTGTCCCAAAAGTAACTGGTGGACAGTCCACCATTTCAGGGGGTAGCATATGAGTAAGAAGTAATGGTGCTGAAGGAAGAAGTTCAAGTGGCACTGGAAACATCAGTCAAAAACAAGGTTCCCAGCTGTGTGTGACCTCCTCCCTGGGGGACAGGCAACCGAAAGGTGGGTGAAGGGAGACGTCGGACAGGGCAAGATATGACAAAATACCCATTTATAAACTATCAAGGGCTGATGAGGGAGGGGGGAGCGGGGAGGGAGGGGAAAAATGAGGACCTAATGCCAGGGGTTTAAGTGGAGAGAAAATGTTTTGAGAAACGATGTACAAATGCGCTTTACACAATTGATGTGTGTATGGATTGGGATAACAATTGTAAGAGCCCCTAATAAAATGTTAAAAAGAAAAAGGAAAAAAAAAAAAAACCCAACAACAAGGTTCCCAGAACTGATGGAATACCAATTGAAATGTTTCAACAAGCTGATGAAGCACTAGAAGTCCTTACTCATCTATGCCAGCAATTTTGAAGACAGCTACTTGGCCATGTGACTAGAAGAGATCCATATTTGTACCCTTTCCAAAGAAAGGTGTGACCCAACAGAATGCACAAATTATAGAACAATATCATTGATGACATGCAAGTAATATTTTACTGAAGATCATCAACAATGGTTGCGGCACTCCATTGACAGAGAACTGCCAGAGACAGCCTGATCCAGAAGAGAACATGGAACAAGGGATATCAATGCTGATGTCAGGTGGATCTGGGATCAAATCAGAGACTACCAGAAAGATGTTTACTTGTGTTTTTATAGGCTATGCCACAGCATTTGTCTGTGGGGATCATAACAAGTTATGGATAACCTTGAGAAGAAGGGGAATTCCATGACACTTTACTGTGCTCAGTAGAACTTGTACATGGTTCAAGAGGCAGCTGTGAGAGCAAAACAGGGGATACTGCCTGGTTTAAATCAGGAAAGGAGTGTGTCAGAGTTGTATCCTCACACCACATTATTCAACCTGCCTGTATGATTATCAAATAATATACAAATAAATACATTTGTATATTGTAAATAATGTATGATATATGTATAGATAATATATGAGCAAATTATCAGAGAACTGAATTATATGAAGAAGAGTGTGGCATCAGGATTGGAGGAAGGCTCATTAGCAACCTGAGATATGTAGATGACACAACCTTGCTTGTTGAAAGTAAGGAGGACTTGAAACCCTGGCTGATGAAGATCACGGTTTGCAGCCTTCAGTCTGGATTAGAACTCACTGGAAAGAAGACCAAATTCCTCACGACTGGCCCAGTAGGTAACATCATGGTAAACGGAGAAAAGATTGAAGCTGTCAAGGATTTTGTCTTGTTTGGGTGTACAATCATTGCTTATCAGAGGTAGTAGTCAAGTGATCAAAAGATGTGTTGCATTGGACGCTACTTGGAGGACTAGGGTGCAGCTGACTCAAGCCGTGGTATTTTCAGTCGTTTCGTATGCATGCGAAAGCTGGACACCAAACATGGAAGACCTAAAAAGAATCGATGCATTTGAATCATGGTGCTGGCGAAGACTATGAAAAGTACCACGGACTACGAAAAGGGCAGACTGATCTGTTTGGGAAAAGTATGTCCAGAGTGCTTGCTCCTTAGAGGTAAGGATGGCGAGACTTCATCGTACATACTGTCAGGAGAGACCAGTCCCTGGAGCAGGAGATCATGCTTTGTATAGGGCAGCAAAAAAAGGGAGGCCCCAAATGAGGTGGATTGACACACCGGCTGTAACAACCAAAATGGTCCTAGAGAAAAAAAAATCTAATTTATTAACAACCATAGAACACTAGTTCAAAAACTGTTAAATAGATAAACCAAATTTAACTTGGAAATACAACCAAGGTTTAGTGGCAAGATTGTTCATTGTTTCATTAGCATTCTAAATCTTGACTTGTCTTATAAACGTTGACATGTCTTTTAAAACCCATGAGGTCAGAATTGTTTTGCCTGTGGTTTAGCGTTGTGTCCCCAGAGTTTCAAGTTATTCCTGGCACATACAAGATGGTTAATAAATGCATGTTGAATTACTGAGCTGAAAATATTCATTATTTTAGGTAAACTGAACTAAATAATATTAACTAAATATAACTAAAATAATATTCATTATTTTAGGTAAACTCCTATAAGGAGCCCTGGTGAGGCAGCAGCTAAGCACATAGCTGCCAACTGAAAGGTCAGTAGTTCGAACCCATCCACTGTTCTGTGGGAGGAAGATGTAGCATTCCTTATCACAAAGAAAACTGTTTGCTTCTATAAAGCTGACCACTGCAGAAACCGCATGAGGCAATTCCACTCTGTCCTACAGGGTGGCTATGCGTCAAAATCAACTCAATGGCAATGGTATAGTTTATTTAATTTAATTTTTTAATTGGTCTATAATCTTAGCATTTTCAAATGGATCTCACAGCCATTATAAAGACTTTCCAGAGAACATCAGACCCTTGCTGTTAGAAGCACAGCATTGATATGATGAAACTTTAAATAGAGCTGGAAACATTTTTAATAGATTAGCACCAAGCACAGCCCACCTTGTGCAGAGGAAGAACCAGACCACAGAAAGCAGAGCACTAAGAAACAACCCAATGCCGTAAAGCAAATGCAGCAACGCCGGAAAGCAAATGCAGCAACGCCGTAAAACAAATGCATCGACCCAGAAGATGCATAATCCCCTTTTCCATTAGACACGTGGGTGTTTCTCCCATAATCCATTTATGCCAGTATGGATAAAAGATGGGAAGGCTACATTTGGCTTAGATTCTCTGGGACCCAGTTGCCAGCCCCCAACCTCACCCACGTAAACCCTATTTATGGGATTAAAAGCCTTTTGTGTTTGCCTCATATCTTGAGTCTGAAACTATGACTACCTGGACACCACTCAAATGCTTTTCCTTCAGGTAAAATGCAGGAGTGAGTCTGTAAAATGCTCCACAAATTCCCGCTCTTCTCAACACTCTTATCTACACCCCTAAAGGGTCCTGGCACCTGGTCTCTGCAGGTTTCCACGAATCCACTGTTACATCATATTAGAAGCATATTTCCAAACGTTTTCAGTTTTCCTTATGAATCTTTTTAAAAGTTATACTCCCCTCCCCCGACCTACGCTGGATTGTGTATTCGAATGGTGGTCGAGCATAGCAAAGTCCTTGTGAGTGGATGGCACTGGGCTAGTGGCTATGAAAGTAGGCAAAGTAAAACTGAAGTGGACCGGGTTCTTCGGTGATAAACAAGTTCATTTCAACCAAATGGAAAAAGAAGTAACTGAAGGCTCATTATAAGGACATGAGGAAGATCCGTTTTATTACATGTAGATTAGAAACATATTTGTTGAAAATTAAAGATTTCATAACATAAACGATTGTAAATTAAGGCTAGAAAAGCTCTGCTGGGTGGGTGGAAGTATTTAGAAGATTGAGCAGTGGTTCTCAGGAAGAAGAGGCTCTGGCAGAGCAGAAGTCTGTGGTGGTAAGACAACCCTGGAGACACAAAGGGGGTGGGAGTTAGGCTGCCAATTGCAAGGCAGGTGGTTTAAACCGGCTGGGCTCCACTAGAGAATGCTGAGGCTACGTGCTCCTATACATATTTACAATTCTGGAACTGTATGTAGGTCAGGACTGACTTGATGCCACTGGGAAAATTGAAGTTTATGTTCGCTTGCTTGCTTTTTAAGAACCTCTCTCAGGTCTCCGGGGCCCGACCCAATCCCAACTATATGGACACCCTCCCCCCTTCAGAAGAATGCACTTCAGAGGACAGTACTGGGGCTACAGCTTGGGGAGAGGGGCGCATCAGATCAGAGCATATGGGAGAAATGCAAAGGGATGGAGAGGGAAGAGAGGACATCCTGACCCACCAAGCCCCAAGGACAACATTCCTGCTCGGAGCAGACAATGCACAGAGAGGCCCATAGGACTGGCCCCACTATGGGACACAA